CTTGATCACCCTGGGGCCGGGGGCGCCCGGTGGCTGCTGGCCCCATCATGCAGCCAGCCGGGGAGTGCTTGGCGTTGTTAGTGCCAGCGCTCACTCAATGTAAACACCTTTACTTTCCAGCTGCTGCTAATTGGTTTGGGAATATTTATGTGAGTGTTGATTTTAAAGCTAAAAATAGTGTGGTGATGTTTAAATCCAACTCATTCTGGCTGTCAGAAATGCTCCCGTGATCCTGAAAGTGTTGCTAAAAATGTTCACTTTTTAAAAACTGTAGTAATTAAACTTGTCTGTTGTGAGAGCCACAGATGATATGTTCCCTGCTCAGAGAGCTAAAGGACAGGCTTCTCAAAGTTCTCTTTCTGGTTGGCAGGACACGGCCAACTGCTGAACTTTTAGAGAGAAGACGATTATAACATGCACTAAAGGGAGAAACAAGATACATTTTGAAATAGCTTTACACCATTACAGTCCATGCACCTCGTCACCTCCCTCCATTTGTTTGAAGTTGACAATAAAAATATAAATTGTAATAATTTTACTAATAAAATTCAGTATAGAGCTTCCCAAACCGTTGCGTTTTCTAGAGGCAAGTGGAAGGATTTGCAATCACATAATTAATATTTCCAAAGTCTAACGTTGGAGGACTACAATGGCTCTCCAGGCCCAGTTGTTGGTACCTCTAGCTCTTCATAGTCAGATTCTTTTTGTCCCTTTATTTCCAAATTTACAAGTCATGATTTTAAAGATTTTTTTTCAGTTGTTTAAATAAGCTATGAGAAAAAATATCGTTTTCATTTTTAGATATGTGTGATTTCGTGACTCTTCATTTCACCGTGTAATTTAGTGAAGGAAAACTCTAAGTGCTCTTAAATTATTGCTTGTCAATTATTTGGTAATTTTTGGAAAAATTGTTTTTGTGGACCTTGTGAAGAAACAAGCTGCCTTTGTCAGTCAGTCTCGAAGCACTGCTCTGCTTCAGGGTTGCTGAAGTCAATTTGGAATCGGCTTTGGTCCTCACAGGATGCCCTGAGCACCTGCCTGCCTGCCGCATCTCTAGAGACTATGAAAGAATTCTCTTGCTTCAATATACAGAAATGATTTTGGCAAGTGAACAGACACCGCCATTAGTTGAGACGATAAACTGTAGTTACTGCCCTTTATGATAGCTTGTAGCAAGGCAAAGAATTTTTGATGCCACTTTTAAAATAGGAGAACTCTCATCTTAGCCATGCAGGTCTATGAATGTGTGTGTTCTTTCTGAAGTCTGCAGTTATTGACGTGATTGCTATAAAACTGTAGTCAGTTCAGAATTACCCTTGAGCAGATTATCGCACTGCAATTGGCCCAATATTGCTTTCAAATTCTAATTGACATTTCAATATATCCTGAGCATTAAGTATGTTGTTGATGTAAACAGAACCTTTACTTACCATCTAACTAGAACTAGGAAAAAAGTCCTTTTAACCTTGCAGAATGTTGATTTGAACCAGAAAGTATGTTATTTTCTTGGCAAGGGATCCAAAGGAAAAATCCACTTGGAATAGAGAGTAAAGAGGCAAAAATAGACAGTTAAAACTTTATAACAAATATCCCAATTTTTTCTTTGACATCCTGAGGGTATATATCCATGCATAATTACAAAGCCAAAAGGAATGTTTATTTTAATTAACTGCCACTGTTAACTGTTTATGGACTAGAAGACTTTATATTGTTAAGATAGTAATACTCTCCAAATTGATCTACAAATTCAATGTGATCCTTATCAAAACCCAGCTGGCTTTTTTGCAGAAATTGTTGCTCTGATTCTAAAATTCATATGAAAATGCAAGGGACCCAGACTAGCCAAAACAAACATGTAAAGGAACAAATTTGGAGAAGTCTCACTTCCTGATTTCAAAACTTGGTACATTTTTTTGTCAACCGAGTTTTGAAAAAGGTGTTAAGACAACTCAATGGGGGAAAAATAGTCTTTTCAATGAATGATTCTGGCACAACTAGATATCCAAATGCAAAGAATGAAGTTGGACCCCTACCTCACACCATTAACTTAATTAAAAATTAACTCAAAATGGTAATAGGCCTAAATGTAAGAGCTAACGCTATATAACTCTTAGAAGACAATATAGGAGTAAATCTTTATGACCTTGTATTAGGTGATGTTTCATAGATACAACACCAAAAACACAAGTCACAAAAGAAAAAATAGATTATTTGAACTTCATTAGAATTAAAAACCTTTGTGTTTCAAAGGGCACATCAAGAAAGTAAAAAGCCCACAGAATAGGAGAAAATATTTACAAATCATATATCTGATGCAGAATCTGTATGCAGAATATTTAAAGAACATTTACAACTTAGTAACAAAAAGGAAAATGATTAGACATTTCTCCACAGTAGATATACAAATCTCCATTAATCACATGAAAAGATGCTCAACATCATTAATCCTCAGGGAAATGCAAATCATTAGTCACTAGGGATATGCAAAACAAAAACCACCTCACGCCCACTAGGATGGTTACAATTTTTTTGAAAAAGAAAATATCAAGTGTTGGCAAGGATTGGAGAAATTGGAGCCCTCATGTATTGCTGATAGGATGTGAAATGGGGCAGACACTCTGGAAATAGTATAGCAGTTTCACAAAACGTTAAACATAGAGTTACTGCATGACCCAACAGTTCTACCCATAGGCATATACCCAAGAGAATTGAAAACTCATGTCCACACGAGAACTCCTTATTCGTAGCAACATTATTTCACAATTGAACATTATTTTGATGTTCATAGCAACATTATTCATAACTGCAAAAGTGAAAACAACCCAATGTCCATGAAGTAATGAATGGGTAAACAAAATGTAGTCTATCCGTACAAAGGAGTATTATTTAGCCATAAAATAGAGTGTAATACTGATAGCTCATGCTAGGACATGCATGAGCTCTGAGACATCACGCTAAGTGATAGAAGCCATATATCTTATGCTTCTGTTTATATAAAGTGTTCAGAGTAGGTAAATCCTTAGAGACATAAAGCAGATTAATGATTGCCAGGAGCTGGGATGGGGGGTGAGGGGGCCCACGGGAGAATGGAGAGTGATAGATAATGACTATGGGACTTCTTTTTGGGGTTTTGAAATTGTTCGAAAATTAGATGTTGGCAGTGGTTGCAAAACTATGTGAGTAAGCCAAAAATTACTGAATTGTGCTTTTTCAAAAGGGTAAATTTAATGTTTTGTGAATTATATCTTAATAAAGCCTTTGTAAGAACAAAATGGTGACTGCTAAAGCCCCAGTTGAGCCTTTAGATAATTACAGCTGCTGCTGTGCTGATGTCTTGACTGTACCCCGTGAGGAATTCCACCCCAGAGCTGCCCAGCCACACCACTTCTAAATCTCTGACTCCCCAAAACTATGAGAGACAGTTTATTTCTTTAATCCATTAAACATTGAGATCATTTATTACATGGCATTAGAAAACTAATATAATAGCATTCGGCTCATTCATCCATTAACATTCACTGCATGAACTCTGTGTTGTGTGCTCGATAGAAGGCTAGACACATGCTCAACCTGCATGGAGCTCCCTCTTGGGTTAGACAGACAGATAAGAAAGTTAGTGATTTTGACATAAATGCAGTCATCAAATGTTCTGACATGTGTGATAGTCACAAGTTCAAATATTTTGTTAAATTGTCTACCTAAGTATTTTGGTAATGTGCCCAACTCTGTCTCTTTTCTCTGTAAGCATATATGAAGCCCTTCATGATAATATGAATGTTCGAAAGCTTTCAAAGATGTTCATCGTTAAGGATTTGGTGACTTAAACTAAAAAGTGTTCTTTAACTTTATGCATTTTCTTCTCTTTCTTTATCCCTGTGGAGAGGAGAAAGCAAATTAAAAAAAAAAAAAATCTAGTTTAGACCAAGTCCTTCAGAAAACACCAACCCCTACATGAAATGTCGCTTCTCAGTCTAAAGTGAAACACATTTTTTAAAAATCAATTCATTGTGACAGACTGCTTGGGTTGTGGCTCTATGTCTTGTTTTCTTCAAGATATTAACTTAATTCCTTTATGTTCAACTTCTTAATTCATATGTTGTCTTTTTTTGGTTGAAATGGTGCATTCAGATCCATGAATGCTCTGTTTCCAGGTGTGATTGTTGATAATGTGGTTTGTTGTTTCAATGGAATCTGAGTCCATGACTAACACTATTTGTGACTGCTTCTGAGGAGTGGCGTATCTGCAGAATTACTCTGTTAAAGTACAGTTCCAAAGCCTACCAGAGAACTGATGTCTGACAAAAATGAGAATCTAAATCAGGTTTGCTTTCTAGAATTCATTCTCTCCTCTATGTACATCCAACTCAACTTTGCCACGGTCCTAGAGGGAAAGGCCTCTCTGACCCGCTTACCTCTCTGTAGTGGAAGTGTTTACCATTTTAGAAATTAAATGGTTGCTTTTAGTTTCCCTGTGCTGAAGATCATCCTCAGAATCAAAGTCTTACGACAAAGTGAGAAATCCAGATTTCTTTCCCTGCAATATTCCAGTTACATTCTTGACAGAAGTGACCTTGCCGGGCAACTTTTCTTTATATTTTTATTAGCACCAGGGGGTGCAAGCAAGTGCAGTGCATTAAAGCTCATCCATCACCACCTGTCAATGGCACCTTCTCTTTGGTTTCCCTTTTCCTTGCTGATTTGAAACACTCATTCCCAAAAGCCCATGGTTGAGTAGCAGGAAGCTAAATGATGTATTCCAAAGCTCTTAACATACTGCTTTGTGTAAATGGCCCATCTGAGTATTTCAGAAACCAAACGGGAGAGAAAAGAACATTGAAAGCACTGAAAAGATTAACACCTGTTTCCAGTCTTCAAAGAAATTGGAGCATACTGTATATATCCAGAGTAAAACCCTTTACTCTCTCATGCTGAGACATTTTATTCACATTTTCAATTCTGTATGCACAGCTCCACATCCTTACGGCTTTGTCTCACTACAGGATTCCACACAGAACTTAGAAGATGGAGAAGTTATGAATGGTGTACAGACAGAACTACTGACATCGCCGAAAACTAAGGATGCATTGAGGTATTCTCTTTATGCAAATAAGAATATTATATTTATTTTAATTTAATGTTTGTCTGTTTAATAGTTTATAGTTTTTATTTCATAGGAAAGATCAAGATAAATAGAATAGTGAAACCTGTCCCAGTTCTAAAATTAATTACTTAATTACTCTTTTCTCTCATTTTCTTTATATGATATGAGAACTTCCTGACAAACATATGTACAAATGAACCTCAATCCTTCAAACTCTTCTGCAACCTGGATTTCTTAATTGCTCTTTTCTTCTCTTTGAATAGCAGTTGAAAGTGAGCATTTCAAAGTTCGCTGTGGTTGAGCATTTTACTTTGACGTTAGCTCTTTGAATATTGCTTTGCGTTGTGTTTTCATAATCTTGCAATATTTTACTTGATGTATGTAAAACGCATCCAGCCTATCAGCCAGGATTTTTCGTGTTTTTAATGTAAGTGACTGATTATGTGAAGTCAGCTGCTCTCATGCTCACCAGGACTTCCTTTGCTGTGCCCTAATTTCCTGTTCTGCCCTGACAACTGCCTGGGTTCATATCCCAGTCCCGCTGCTTACTAGTTCTATGAGCTTAGGCAACTCACTCATCTCTCTTTGCATTGGTTTCTGGTCTATGAAATGGAAATAATATTAAAACCTTTTTCAGGGGGTTAGTATGAAGATTAAATGACAATATATGTAAAACATATATTAACTGAATATGTTGAACAGTGCCTGGGTCAGAGTAAGCCCTGTGAGTATTTGTTGCTGTTGCTACAAATATTATTGTTATCGTCACCATCTCTGTTATTATCATCATCATTACCATTTTTTTCTAAGTTGCATAAGGGAAGTAATTCTGTGTTTGGTCGACTGTTGGCTTCAGCACTAGGAAGTGATGCTTCTGAGGCCGATGGCCATTCCCCATTCATTTAGTCAACATGTTCCTTTCGTTCACTCCAGTTACAAATAGGGACCAAGCATTGTACATGGAATTAGCTTTAAAAAAATATGCAATCATTCTTTATCTCATTGCTTTACTGGGTGGATTTTCCTCAAGCTTATAATTTATAGCCATATGACATAGTTACTCTTTATTTAGATTAGGTTTCTTTGATTAATGAGCTACACAATGTTAAAAATTTGGTACAGAAAATCTCCAGAGCACTGTCTTTTTAGAAGCTTGATAAGATTGATTTTTGAGGTAGGCATAATGAATATAATATTCTTATTCTGTTTGCCTTTAATTTCATCGTTTTTAATGTTAGCTTTGAGAGGTTTGCTAACATTTGGCTAAATCTTGTGTGGATAGCTGTCACAGAGTGAACAATTATTTGGTTCATGGCTGCATGAGCAAATCAACTAAGCTTTCTCCTGGTATAAGGAATTGAGAGAAATGGCGTATAGGAATTTTAAAAAATAACTTTCTTTAATTAAGATATGTGTGTATATGTATAATTTAATTATCAAAACAGCCTTTTCACATAGGTTTTATCACCTTTAGTAGGTAAGGAATTGCAATTCAGAGCAATTAAGTAACTTCTAGAGAGATCTGATCGACATCCACCACCCTTGTCTCCAAATCTCTTGACTACAGTGTGCACCATCCCTCACCCCCTGGTATCTTATTTCATCCTACATAACCTGGGCCAGGAAACTTCCAGTGTAGGAGAAGTCAGCTCAGGTCAGTTTGAGGCCAAGTTCAGAAAGTAGAGTGAGAGCAGACTCCCAGCACTCGCAGACTCTCGGGTGGGGAAGGGCGAGAAGGATCTTAGCAGCACGGAACGTGAAGCCTGCAGGGGAAAGCTTGGAGATTCCAGTTCTAGGAGAGGACTTGGTTCTAGCAGGTATGGGATGAACAGGGAGCGATTGAAGAGAAATTAAGAAGCCACTTAGAACCGAGTTCCTCGGTCAGTATTCTCCTGGCAAGGATGGTCTGATATCCCACAGAGCTTGGCTCAAGCAGAGGACTTTGGATTCACTTCCGTGTAGGTGGCATAGAAGCTCAGTAAATTATTTGCATAGCCCATCTCAAAATGTCTTGAACCTGTTCTTATGTCTTAATTCCCACAGTGGTTCCTCAGGCCTTTGTTATCTCATATTTTAATAACCTTCTAACGCTTCTCCTCCTGAGTCTTGATCTCTCCTTATTCTAATTGATCCCACATATCACCACTGGATAAACTTTTCTAAACCACAGCATTCATGAAACCATTCCTTAGTTCCAAAATTTTTGGATTTAGTTAAATCCTGAGTTTGAACACTCCCTATGTAATCTTGCACTACTTATTTAACCTCTTTCAAATGCTTTTTCATGGAAAATGGGTATCATGGTCACATAGGTGATTGTGAAGATTAAATGAGATATATTACAGGCAATTGCACTTTGCACAATGCTAAAAGAAAGGCTGGGTAAACATTAATTGCAATTGCAATTATCGTCTTCTCACAAACTACAGTTTATTGTAACTATTTGTCATTCTCCCAAACGAGACTCTGAATCCTCCAAGGGATCTTGACACATAGTACAGGTCTTGGAACTTAATGGAGGTGTGTTTGCTGAGTGAGTGACTGAGAGGATAAAACACATGGCTCTGTAAGTCATAAGCATAACTATTAACTGCTCACCCATCATTAACACAAACATTTTTATTAAAAGAAAAGTAACATTTAGAGGGAGGTCTCCAAATAGTTTTATAATATGCCTCTCTTACGGTGTATTGCTCAATTTACTTTGATCTTAAGAAGAGATTGAAGCAAGAGGTTTCTATTGGGTGTGTTTTTTTTTTTTTTAAATGAAGTTACCCTTTAAGCTTCTTTTTAAGTAGCATGCAATACGTGCAAAAGACCTTTACCTTATCTCTCATTTCCAGCTCATTCCTGATCTCACCTTATTCCTTGACACTTGCCCAAATCAGCCTCCTCCAGACTTACCTCTTTTTTCAGCCTTAAAACTGCCATCAGGTGTTCTCCTATCTTCTCCTCTGCCTCTGATATCCATTCATTTGGCAAATTCTTGGCAGAGTCCTTCTCAAAATATGTTGAACCTTTCCCTGCGTTGATGCGTTACTGCCTCTCAGATCTATTATTGAAGTAATTTACTAATTCCTGTCTCAAGTCCCACTCCCTGCCTTGTCTTTCCCTTTCCTAATCTATCCTACGTATCACTGCCAGCTGAATATTTCCAGACCACAGCATTTGTCACAGTGCTCCTGAGTTCCAAAACCTTAGTGACTCCATTGTTTACAAAATTAAGCATGATTTTTTCAGCGTGGAATTTGTCATATCAGCCTTAGATTTGATCTCAAGCTAATGGTTCAACCTTATCTCCTCCATGTCTCCCCTCTTTCCGTCCCTGCCTCCCTCCCCCTCACTCTCCCTTTAACATCACAGCCAGTCTGCGCGCCCACAAACCACCGCCGTGCGCTGTCTCAGTGCAGACCGTTTCTCCTCCTGAGCTTGCCCTCTCTGCTGCCTCACCTACTCTTTTTATTGAAGATCCTCTCAGGTCCACCTAAAGTGCCACTTCCTTCAGGAAGATTTCCCTGATCCCAGCTTCCTTTCCTGAGCCTGTAGCCTCTTCCTCTGCACCTCATCAGAAAGAGCCTCTGCTTTGAAGCTCACATGTCAAAGTGGTTGAAACTGCTGCTCTGGAAGGCAGTGAATCCAACTGGAGTCCAACATGATGCCATTGGTATAAGATTTAACCTCTCTAAGCATCACTTTACTTCTCTGTAAAACGGAAGTGATCTGTTTATGCATTTGATGTGAAGACATGTTATAATGCCCAGACGGCAATTAGCACTCTGCCTCTCAAGTCATAGCTTATGTTCATTGAGAACATATTACTGTTACTACCATCATTCTATTGCTTTGTATTATTTTTTATCACTGGTCTTCACCTGACCTGAACTCTTCAAGCACTGGCCTTTGTTCCTTGCAGAACTTCCCCACTGGAACTCCTCAATTAATATATGTTGAATTCAGGTGCATTAAGTGAACCCCACCACCATGACGACAAATTCTTTGTGATTTTTACACAGTATGTTCTCTTCAACAAGACATTTCACCATCAAGGAGATGTCATTGTCATCAAGAGACTCCTCTTGGAGGCCTCTCGATAGTCCGTCTCTCACACTGTTGTGTATGGCAGACCTGCACATCAGCCCCCGGGCACAGCAACCAATCTCTTCCACCGTTTATTACAATCCATTGTCTTCTCTATGTCAGCAGTCTAATCCTGAGGAAAATTTGTTCCTCAATCCTACAGGATTGAAGGATTTTTTAAAAAGTCTCACTGAGGAAATCAGTTGAGAAAAATTGCAAAGTTTGAGATACATTATTCCCTTTTAGTCCAGAACCTTACATGTTTCCTCAGAGAGTTTGCGTAATCACACTAATAACTGATAGTTATTGGACTCTTGGTATATGCCAGATACTGTTGTATGATTTATATATGTTATGTTCTGTGTCTTTTTCTTTAAAACCAACAACTCTATTAGGAATTTATCTTAATTTCCTCACAATTTTGGTCTTAGTTTAAATGATTTACTCAGACAGCTGACTCAAAGCCACCACTGGGATACACTTTCTCTCTCTAATTTCATAAATTAACCATGATTTCCTTCTGAAACAAATTATCTGCCCCTCCCTGCCCTGCGTCCTGTCCCTCGCTCACCCTAGAGGAGAGGCCTAGGGCTGAGCTGACTAACCGTCTGTGGAAAGTGCTGTCCGTTTGCCTCGGGTGAAGAAATTAGGTCTGCGGCCCTCTGCAGCTCCACTGTATTCTCTCCCTCAAGCCTCACGTCTTTCTTCTGCTTGGAACCAAACAAAGCACTTTCCGTCTAGTTCTTGCAGAGTAGCCGTCACGACAGGCTCACTGTGAACCGCTGATTCCGTCCCTTCGCCCAGAGTTTTGTCCTAAGCTCTTCGATCAGTGGCGGCTGGGTGGAGGGATTATTGGAATCAGTTTTGTCAGTTGGATCTCAGAACATTTAACTTGCTTGTTACTATTGGCCCTAATGGTTTGCGACTATCTGCTTTTGTTTCATTGTGTCTTAAAAAGTTGTAGAAAGTTAGCTAGTTTGACTTTGGCAAAATCTTCTGACTTTTCTTTGTGTCGCTGAAGTATTTTCCCTTTACCTCACAGTTCATTTTTTCTCTTTTTTACGAGTAGCTGCCAGTCCCTTTTTCTTTCCACTGCTAGAATGTCCTTTCCAGTGCATTCTCTACGTTTTCTATTCTCAGTCCACCTCCAACACATAAATAAGTGTGTGCAAGCCTGCTCACTGGCCCTGGGACTCCACTCTGCAGTTTGCCTAAACACAGAGCCTTCATAGTGGATTTCCACATCCTGGTAGTCTCTCACTTTATCAGCTATGCATTCAAATAATTGTATCCAGTCCTACCTGCTGTGTTTCTCTTCCATGAAGGGTGAATATACAGAGATTTCTGCAGAACTCCATCAAGTGTCTATAACACTCAGGGGTTTTTTTCCCCTTTTAAAATAAATAAATAATAATAATAAAATTAAAATTAAAAAATAAAATAAAAATACATGGACTAGTCTATGAGGCTTTCTTTTTCAAATGCTTTTCTTTGCATCTTGAAACAAATAATGGACAACTTTTTATAAACAGCGTGATGAACATAGTACGTGTAAAGCTTGTAATGCTTGTCTGCGTTAAGTAGACGTAATTCTCTGTAAGTGCCTGCATATTATAATCAACAAAATCGAAAGTCTTTTGTGCTTTTTTCTAGGATAATAATATTTTTGAGATAGTAATTTAACATTTTTCAGATATCCTTCTAGCCAAAGAATTGTGACGTTCATATAAGATAGCATAAAAGTTTATTCTGAAATATCGAAAAAGGGAATCTTTTAAAGTAGAAATGAACCTTAAAACTACATCTCCCAAAAAAATTTTAGTATTTTGAAACAATTTTGATTACTTTAACAAATTATGAGGTTTACTTTATTGAGTGATTGTAAAAATACGGCATCGATAATTACTAACTAGTAGGTAGGAATATGATACGTACAATTTATTATGTTTTATGGGAGGGGCCTTGAATGGGGTAAAGAAATATTTGCAAAATAGAAAAAATTGAGAATCCATAAAGCCATCATAAAAATTTTTCAGCGAAATGCTGAAGTCTATACTAGACTAAACACTTAAATTCCAAAAGCCTCTATGTAATATGTACAAGTGCTTTCTATCAGCATGTGGATACTTTATACATTTATTAGGAAAGATTTGTGTTCTGCTCTAAGTACAAAACTATAAAAATACATTATAAAGTAGAGATGATAAAGTTTTAATGGTTAAACAAGATTTTAGTCTCCGTTTTTAGAAATCTTTAAAAGAGTACGGTCACCCTAGAAAGTGAATGTGTTGGGTTTAGTCTTCCTCAAATACCTGAAAATGCACCATAAATCTGTTATTATACGCAAATAATTCCTCCGTGGCTCATTAAAGGCAATACAACTTTCTCTGCCCACTGAACATTTTATATTCAGGACTTAGAATGTGTACCTGTATATAGTAATTCATATGCATATATTCATCTGTCTATATTCTCAGACAGGCAGTATGGAGGAGAATCTATTTTATCCCACGTTATTATCACTCTAAGATTTGTTTTGTTTCTATCTTTTGTTCCAGGTCTCTCATATAACTTGCTTGACTGAACAAGTTTTAAATATATCAGCAATATCTGAGCAAAACTCATTTGAAGTTTATTATTAGATTTGAAATTCCATCATATTCCACAAATGTTGGAAACTGTGTTCTTTTTTGCAGTTCTTAATAATACATTTGCAATGAAAACACATTACAAATAAGCCTAATCTGGGACTGGCCCCGTGGCCAAGTGGTTAAGTTCGTGCGCTCTGCTGCAGGCGGCCCAGTGTTTCGTTGGTTCGAATCCTGGGCGTGGACGTGGCACTGCTCGTCAAGCCATGCTGAGGCAGCGTCCCACATGCCACAACTAGAAAGACCCACAACGAAGAATATACAACTATGCACCAGGGGGCTTTGGGGAGAAAAAGGAAAAAAAATAAAATCTTAAAAAAAAATAAATTAAAAAAAAATAAGCGTAATCCACTGAATGAGAATATATTTAATGTATTTGTTTTAGATTGCTGATAATTTAGAGTACGCTTCATGCAGAGTGATTCATCAGGCATTTTGCTTTCTTAATGCTGTTCTCAACTTTCCAGCAAAGCGCCAAAATTTCGCCATTTTCAGTCTGGAGCAGAAAAGAATTTGTAGCAGCTGTAGCTCTTAATTTGACATCTAGTTTCAGGTCATTTTCATGTACATAGGAAAAAATAGAGACCTGCTTACGATTTCCATAATGGGGATGTTTGCTTCAACTTTATCATTTTTCCTCTGGCAATTCTGTTTTCTCTCTCTGGGGTTAAAGGAGCCAATAATTGTTCACGGTTATTATTTTTCATCTTTATAAAAACTTGTTAGTTCCACCCTTTATTACTCAAAAGCTCCCACTGCCTTGTATATTCAGTCACACGCACTATCCATGAATGTTTCTAGCTCATCCTTTTCTTAATCTGGAGTAGGTTAGGTGGGTCAGGCTTTCCATTTCTTTCTGTAATACATTTTCTCCAGGCTTTGCAACTCCTTTTTCCACCTCTAAAAATAACAGGAGGTGAAAATTTGGAATTGTTCCATTGAATACAACTGATGCCTTATTGAGAAGCAAGTTAAGTTTTGATTTGTAACGCTTTGAACATGCCCATATGTATTACCAAATGAGGCTTCACAGTTGTTGTAAAATGTAATTCTGTGCTTTTTCTAATAAATACACATTTTATTTCACTTTCTCTCTGTTTTGGGGAAAAAAAGCCTACTTTACATTTAAGAATAGATGTGCTTAATTCTGTGTATTTTATCATCTGTGCAGTAATTTTCAAGTGTGTCTCAATGGGGAGAAATGTCATTTTTGTGTGCATCTTTTTAAATATGTTGATTTATGCAGATTAAGTTAAGTAGGAAGTTATTTTTGTAGGTAGTCATTTCCATTTATTCTTCTTCTAGGGGAAAAAATAAGAAATCAGATGGTCTTTTAAACATTTTATTTCCTGGATCGTCTGAACATACCCGCAAATCATGTACTCCTTTGATTTCATCTCTGCTGTCGAGTTGACAGTAGTTGACATAATCCTAAGGTTTAGTTTTTTGGGTTTTCTTTAATGTGCCTCATCTGTTTTTTTAGCAGAGACTCATCTGTGCTGTTATTTTTTTCTGCCCCAGTGATATGACAAGAACAGTGGAGATTTCTGGGGAAGGAGGCCCCTTGGGAATACATGTAGTCCCCTTCTTTTCATCTCTGAGTGGAAGGTAAGATGTTTTCCTTATATCAGAAGTTCATGCTAATGAAAGACTTGCTTGAGCTCATTTTCCCAAACATTTTTCACAAGAGGATTAAGTGTGTATCTCTGTTACACAGATAGAAACCTCAAGATATACTTCTGTTGGCCACTTGTATGTTAGAGACAGAATAAAATCATTAATTTCTAGGATGCAATGGACAAGAAAAAAAATCACAGTTTCTACAATTGCACTTAATGATGAAGTACTTTCTTAAAGTATTCTTATCAGTGATGCATAGTAAACAGAATCCTTGGAAAGGATTTTAACATATTGGTGGATGAATTTTGCAACTGAATTTTTTAATGTTCCAAAATACACTTCAATAAGTGAATATAGTAATTCCAAACGGATATTTCCTGATATTCCTCATGTATATAGAACTTAGAATAACAGATATTGTAACATTTTAAGAAGCTGTATCGGAAACATATGTTTTGATGATATTAGCTATTGTAACAAAATGCCGTCGTGCTATTTATTTTTTTCTAAAATAAAATTTAATCAATTAGAAATAATTTACCACGTCCTTTTGAAATTTTAAAGACATTCTATTGCTAAATCCACACTGGTAAATGGTAATTTAGATGGTGTCAGCAATTCGTGAAAGTCATGTCTCCCTAAATGGACATAAAGCTTGTTTTACTGATGGAAATTACAGTGTGTGCCTGAGAGTCCACAACAGAACTATTATGACAACCTTACAAAACTAGTATTAGATATTATGTCACTTTTCAATGAGATCACTGCCTGTAGCACTAGTTGATATTGACAAGGGGTATCAGACACAAGAAAATTAGTTTCTCACTCATATGACATGATTTTAGTTAATTTGCTGAATTTATTTTCTTAAATGCATCATTGAAAAGGCAGAACACTTTATTTTAGCTTCGGAGATCAAAGACCAGAAAAGTCAGCTTATTTTCTCAAGGTCACACACAATCCAGATCTCCTGACTTGCCTGCACTCCATTGCTCTTTCTAGAACAAGGATTTTCCCAAAGGTTATATAGTATTAATTTACTGGTTCCAAATATTTGTTCAGTTCAGTCTGCCGTATAGCGAGAAGAGCAGATTTAGTCATGATATTTTGGTTGGCATCATTTTCAGCAGGTAGCCATCTGCTACCTATAATTGCAAAGTCATCACCTTTTTTCGCAAATAACATCTGATGCCAAGCTTTTGCTGGAATGAATGTTCCCTAAAAAGAAATGAACTGAAAAGCTGGTGGCTCTTATTGTCTCATTTCCTGTGTGTGCTAATAAGCGTGTTTATAAATGTTATGGGTTATGGCACAGGACAAGCTGAGGTTGTTTTTGATAGACAGGGAGAGTATTTACCCAGTTGTCATGAGAAATTCTAATGGCTTTTGGCAGAAGTGTACTGATCGAGCTCTGTGAAATACCAGAGCTGTTAAATTACTAGGCCCTTTAGCTTAATGGAGCTGGAATAGAAACACAAGATCATCCCACTTTCCAAAACATGAAGAAATATACAATGTGACAGTCACCATCCTTCATTTTCAGTAGTTCGGAAAACAGGTTGACCCCGTAGACCAGAAATCACCTTCTCTGACTTCAAATGAAGGAAACACACGAGAATTGATTGGTTCCCTCCCTTTCCTTCCTGTGCCTGATTTCGAGCACACGCCTTGTAGGACGGTAGAGAGAGTGCTGGCCTTGGATGCAGAAGGGTGGGATTTGCATGTCTGTGTTCTCTTTTATAACCTTGGGCAGGTCCCCTAAACCTGCCTCTTGTGAATTTCTACTTCACATGAAGGTTGTGGGGATTAAATGACATTAAAAATGTGAAAGCTCCCTGTAAAACACACAGCATATGAATGTGTACATTATCGGTATTGTTATTATTTTGGCTAAAACAGAAAAGCCTGGTTCAGAAATGAACTTCTATAAGTTCATGGTCAACAATTCAGTAACTTGGCGAAATAGTTGTATAATATTTTTTTTGCTCTCCACTTGTATTATAGAAAGGAAATTTAATTAAAAGCATTAAAAATAATATGGAAGTGGAGACATGAGCCAATAAAAGTTAAGAAGTAATGAGTACAGGCTGAAATAGCACACTTAACTCAACCCATGTGTCTAGATGCAACTGGGTGTAGAGCGTGTCAGACAAGAGTCTGAATTCATAGTGCCATATGGCTTCACTGTGGGCAGGGGGAGGGGGTGAGTTGAGGTCATAGCAGTATACTTAGTTCTTAATTTCCTTCAATTTATTGGTTTGTGTCATTATTTTAAATTAGAATTTACATTTAATTATTTACTAAGACTACTGTAATTGGCTTTGCCTCCAATTTCTTTTTTATTTTTTTTCTTTTAGATAAATACTGCCACACCTGTTGTGGAATCAGAAACCTAATCTAAGTTAGCACACCCTGAGTACCATGTAGTGGCCGCTGTAGAGAGACGGCCCCAGTGGATTCCTTAGAGACCGCAGCACAGGTGCCGAAGGCCTCCTGTGTGGAGGGCCACTAGCTTGCTGGTGGAAACAAAGCAAATATCCAAAACACTGAGTTGCTGCAAGTAAAAAGCAACTTAATTCATTTATTTTTTAAAAAGTAATGTGGTTTTGTTTTAAGAATTAAAAGCATGAAATCTAATTGTTTTTCAGTAAGTAAAGATAATATAACATAGCTCCGTTTCATAGTAAAGACAACTAAATATGAAAGAGAAGAAGGAAGGGATGGGTGAAGAGTAACACATAACGTGAGGAGAGGAGATGTTTAGACAAAAATGCTAAGCTAGTAGAATGGCTGAGGCGTGTGACACAGTGAGAGAAGTGGAAGGGGGCAAGGAGAGGGCGGGTTGGTGCTGAAGTGATTATTAGAAGAGCAAGAAGCAATTGTTACCCTCTTATTCTGTGGGGCTGTGACTTTCGGCATCCTTTATCAGTGCTCATTAATGTGAAGGAACTGGTTCGTCTCAGCCTCGACAACATTAATCTTTAAATCCTGAGAATTGTGGTCCCAAATGAGAAAGCCACCACAGCCCACCCGTTTGGGGCCGTGAGGATAATGAGAGACTCTCTTCTGAGTCTTCGATACTGGTCTGGATGAAACCACACTGGAGGGAATTCAACCCCTTCCATGGAATAGAGAAGGCAGGAGTGGTGTGTTGCCAGGAACCAAACTAATAAGATCAGTCAGTTTTACACTGAACCAGAATTACCTCTGACACATAGGTTTTACAGTTGGGCTTATGCTGTCAATAAATTTTTCACGGAAAATCAGGTTATTTAGATCGGTGAGGTTCACATAGCATACTCCAGCTGTAATATGCCAGCTAAATTGCAACCCAGTGGCCTGAAAGAATTAATTCATCTCCCAAAATGTGAAATTAAATCCTAGGGAGTAACATTACATGACTGATGATGTACTGAATTAAATTAAAGGAAGACTTGAATGCTTGTTAAAAAAATACCGCTTACATAAACTTGTTTATAACCACATGTGAGCCTCCTAATGGATCGTGCAGTTGTGAATACACCATAACAAAAATCCAAAACGTGAACTATTAGGGGATTTTTTAATTTAGGAAAGAAACACTATTTTGTTCTTTTTTTTTTTTTTGCATGTCAAATAGTTTAATTTTTAATATCATGTTACGAGATTAAGGTAGGATTAGTATCTTAAAAATATTAATTTGAATCTCAGATCCTTTATCAAATAGTAGCTGTGGCCCCTTTTCTCTTTCACACAGAATATGATTAATCTATGAACCTACTAGAACTAGGAAATGAAGCGTGGCCCCTCACCACACACTGTGCCTGTGACCCTGAGCCTTCCCGGCAGTAGGTGGCGGGACAACTTGCTCTTCTCTCACCTACCTTAGCGTCCTGTACTCATTCAGCATTGTTGAAGGAGAGATCTGAGCACCACCGCCAGGCCTCTCCTCTTGCTGTCTGGACATGCCATGAGCTCATTTCACAAGACTGAGGCCATGGAGGCAGAGGCCTCACTTTGGAGCAACTGCAAACAGGAAGATGGGTTTCTCCTCCACTTTCACTAGAGGCTGCCCTTTTTCCATGGCTCACCCTATTAGTCACACATAAAATATGCTCATATTTTATTAAGATTTGAGGTTTAATGCAAAGGGACTATGTAATAGCACATGAGGCCCCCACACAAAAGAGTGAAAAAGTAGAAAAACAAGAGGACAAGGGAAGGGAAGATAGCAGTTTCTGCACCCAGCCCAGCAGATTCCTCTTAGAGGACGTATCTGTCTTTCTCACTCTGGGACACAGCGAGGACCCAGACATGCCACCAGAAGAAGAGAAATCCCTCAAGTGAGAAATAGCCAAAATATACACAAATTTTGTTTCTTTTAGTTTTTAGTTTAGATGCTACCAATAGGTAACAGAGTTGCACACACACACACACACACACACACGTATATAAAATTTCTTCTTTATTTCTACTGATGTAGTTTTCTTTCTCTTCTCCTGTTTTTCCAATCCCCCTTCCTCCCAGACTGTAAGCCACAGCCACAAAGCACCAGGAGCCTCTGGGTGTCTTCTCCGAATCCAGACCCTTCCTGGTTGAAATTTTAGACAACTCTTCCCAGAGCCCTGCCTTCCTCATGTCACTGTCTTGCTCAGAAGCAGCGGGTGGTGGGTGTACAACTCCAGCCTCATCAGATTAAGTCCATCATGTGGTGTTCAGGGCCCTGCCATGTGGCACAGGCCTCCCACTGGGCGTCGGCTCCCTGCCCTGCTCCTCACACGCACGCTCACACAAAGGCACGGGGCCCAGCCAGCCTCCGTGAATGTTCTCTCCTCCTCGCCAAATCCTACTCATTCTTCTGATCTAGTTGACATCCCAGTTTCTCCCCAAATCCTTCTATGAAGACTCTAGGCTTATTGACATCTCCAGTTTTTAAATTTCTACTATGCTTGGAGCCTGTACTGACCAATTGTCCTGGTCCTATGGCCTTGTCTCATTCTCCTCCATTCTGAGCACATAGAAAATAACCTGTACTTGATTCAGTGGCTCCAGCAAATGGGACTGAACTTCTTTCTAAACTGAGGAATATAATCTCTGCTTAAATGTTTACTTCTTGAACTGCAAGTTATTGAAACAGATAGTAAGACTGCAAAAAATTGCAGTGGATACCTAACCCTCTCCCATTACTAAACTTCCAGTTGCCCCCTTGGCGCTGACTCAGACTTGCTCATTACAGTTGGCCCTTCTCTGAACCACGAGTTCTTCATGTCCTGCACCCCACTGAGCTACTGGCCTCTCCTCAGTGTACTGCAAGCGTGAGAAATGGGATCGTAGATTAATGCACTCTGCTGGGTGTTTATGTAGATTTGTCTTGAAGGGCCTTTTCTCTTTTAGTGAGTTGTGTTTTATGTTTTTGGGGGGATTTTTTGCTAAGGATTTAAATAACACACGTTTGCCTGAATATAAAGCATAATTTCTTTCATAAATAGAAATCAAGACTTATTTCTGAATAGTTGCAAGTGGAGAAATAATTAGCATATTATTATTCGGTAATTCTGTTTCAACCTAAATTTTGCATTTAGGATTCTAGGACTCTTCATCCGTGGCATTGAAGAAAACAGCAGGTCCAAGCGGGAGGGCCTGTTTCACGAAAATGAATGTATTGTAAAAATCAACAATGTGGACCTCGTAGACAAAACCTTTGCTCAGTAAGCATTTTTCCATTTGTTTATTTACTTTGTTGATCCCTAGAATGCTTATGATCATTACTAAGCTCATTATGATCAAAACCGTAGGTAGCATTTCTGGTCAGTTCCCTTTGATTGACCCCAGAATGCCCATTTTCAAATCATGCTCTGCGTTAGCACGCTCAAGGGTGGCCCGCACGTGGCCCCGACAGCCTCCAGAACGGTGGCCTGCAGAAGGCAGCGAGCCCTCCTGCCTGGCTGTTTTTCTGGGGCATTGAGAGATGGGTTTGTTTTTCTTGGGCTATGGGTCACTTAGATTGGAATTTAATGACTCTTTTCACAGACTGTTAGTTCAGCTTATTAATTAACTTACTTGGTGTCACAGTCTTCCTTAAACTAAATATCTCTGAGAGATGCCTGTGAGGACTCACCAAATAATAGAAACAAATGGAAAGAGTTAAAATGCTCTCCCTCAAGAAATCATTTCTCTGCATGTGAAAATGTTATGGGAATAGGTTCTTGTACCTAAGAATTAGAGTATGTGGCAGGCTGCATACGTTTTTTCAAATGTATGTTGGCATTGCAGTGGGATTCTGGAACAAGGGAATAAATATGAATTCTCCTTAGTAATATTCACCAACCCCTCCTGTTTCTGACGAAAACCACTCGTAATATATCTTCTCTGTGGCCATTAGTTGTCAATATTGGGGGCGGGAGTGGTTCTGGGTGGGAGTTGTAGGTTGTGGGAGGGCAGTGGGCACTGGCTGCTTAAGTGTGGAAAGCAATGAAGCCTTAAGAGTCTATTTTTGAAAATAATGAATAATAGACAATATTATAATTATTATTAATAATGATGTTATTTTTATATACCCCTGTGCTTTTTACAAGGGCTTGATAGATAGGAAAGGCAGACAGTTTATGCCTATTGTATAGGGGTGGAAATTGAGGCTCATAAAAGTTCAGCATGGAGTTAGTGTGGAGTACAAACTGACCTCTGGTCCAGGAACTGACCAGAGGAGCTGGGCTGTCTACGTGAAATCTTCTCCCTCCTCCGCTAACAATGTAGGGTATCACACACTTCAGTAAGGTATATTTTTTCTGAAGACGAATAAGTGTGGAGGTGGCATTCCAGGTTGGGATGGCGGTTCCACTGTTGTCAGTGAATCAGGCATCTTCCATCTTTCTGCTTTGCCAGCCTTACCACGTGGCTACTGTCTTTAAGTTGTGTCATGGTCACAAGATGGCTGCTGGAGTTCCTTGCGTCACTTCTGAGTTTCAAGAAATAGGAAAGAGAAACAAGATAACAAAAAAGTTTCTGCCTCCCAGATGAGCCCACTTTCCTCTAATCCCCCTTCACTTACAGCTCATTGGCAAGAAAGGCGGGGAAGGGTAGTTATTTACCTAGTTGTAAGGCGTAAGAAGGCATAAGGAAGGAGAGGAAAAGTCGTAGGAAATTTGAGGAAAAACACAAAGGGCTAAGACAAAAAGCAACAAATAGAGGTGTATAATAGAATAAAAGGGAGGGTGCATATTGGATCGACCATCCACTGTGACATTCAGCTCCACCAGCGCATCTGCGAGATGTCTTGGAGAGGAAATCTTGGACTTCTAGAACACGACTCGTGTTAGAGAAGACCTGTGCTTTAGAATGCGGCCCTAAAAGGAGACCAATTGATAATCTGATCAATACTACAAAATGATTTTTTTCACCTAAAATTAAAGCCTCCTTTTCTGTTTACTTCAGTAATCACTTCTGGATAGATGTTCCGCTTTAGAAATACTTAAAAACTGTGGGTCATTAGATGAGTTACTTAATCTCGGAGCCTCAATTTCCTCATTTTGCAAAATGAGAGCTAATTATACTTAGCTAAGATTAAATGAGAAGATGAATTAAGAAGGTTGTTAAGAAGATTCAGTGAGAGAAGTATGCATGTTAACAATGCCTGTGTAGCCCAGTGTGGGGGCACCTAGTGGGCAAGTCATAAGTGTCACCTAGCCCTTAGTCAGCAAAGTCGTGTTGGCGGTAATGGTGATGCCACCTCCCGTGCTTGCACTGCTCCACTGCTCCCGTTGCCACGAGGTGGGCCGAGTTCGACTGAGTGCTAGAACACAGTATCCTTACACATTTCCTGCCTCTCCTCCAAGGGCTCAGGATGTCTTCCGCCAGGCAATGAAATCTCCCAGTGTGCTCCTCCATGTGCTTCCACCTCCAAACCGGGAACAGTATGAAAAATCTGTCATTGGACCTCTCAACATTTTTGGTAACAATGATGGCGTTTTGAGAACGAAGATGCCGCCTCCTGTCCATGGAAGATCAGGAATAAAGACAGTTCATCTCACAGGAGCAGGCAGTCCTGGAGAAGATGCCTCAACTTCCATTCCACAAAGCAGGAGCCCTCGAGTACCTAGAGGCGGTAGAAATGCATCCTCGCCCTCACTCTCCCCTCTCCTGGGGTTTGGCAGCAAGAAAAATGCAAAGAAAATTAAGATTGACCTAAAGAAAGGTAATTATTAAATTATGCTTAATAGCATTCTATTATTGTAACATGTAAAATTGGTTAAGGGAAATGCATTAAGGCTAATTTTGTTAATTCTTCTTTCATTTAACTGTACCAAAGAATAGATTTAAGTGTATACTTATGTAACTTAAATTTCTTGAAATTGTTGTCCTTCCTTATTCTTTTCTTCTGGAGAGTGTAGATTATTGAAAACAAAATAGTCAAGACATGTTGGGGAGTGGTAAAGAATCATTGCAAAATTGCGAGAAACAGAGCAGTATTGTATCACAACTTAATACTAAACAGGTGCTAAAATTAAGCTGTCCCTGTTTTGAGCAAGATTTGTGATTTTTGAAGCATCCTTTAGGCCAAGTCCAAAAAGCATATTGTTTCGGGTTCTCCACGTGGTTTCAGACCAGCAGAAAATTTACTCCTCAGAAAGTAAATATGTGATAATTGTTAATTTCAGTCATTCAACATTGAAAACAATTTTTCAAAACATGCGTACAAAAGCATCTGTAACCTTTCCTGTCTTCATCTTTTTCAGCTTTTCTACCTGTTTCAAGCACAGATCAATGAGACTAGATCATGTGCGTGCATGCATATTTATGCAATATTATATACACACAAGTATTCATGCACTTCTGTCCTTCTGTTTATTTTGTAACTTCTTCTGATAATCCCTTCCCACACGGTAAACTTCTGAAATCCTACACGACTTTCAAGGCGCAATTCAAAAGAAACCAAGATCTCATAGATTTCTGTTGGATAGTAGAGAATTTAATGATCATGTGGTACTTTTAGGATACTTAATAATATATATCAAAAGCAAATCACATGTACCTTTGATAGAGATTATTCTGAAAGATCCTCTGGTCAAAATTTCAACCCCCTATAAGAAGTCTATACTGGGAAGAAAATGTATTGACTAGGAGGCACAAATATTCTGAAGTGCTTAGCAATTAGGCTTTTATATATATGCATCAGTTGTGTTTTCCCTACGAATTATCCAGCTATGTATAGACATGGGATCGAGTGCTTTGAGGAAAGATGAATCAGACACAGAATGAGACCTTAAAAATCCATCAGAAGGCCTTGAATGCAAAAATAAAGAATAAAACATCACAGCTGTACTTTGGGAAGATTAATCTGACAGCAAAAAGAGACACTGAAGAAGAGACCAAACAACAAAAGATCAGTTAAGGGTGCATTGCATCTGTCTAAATGTAATATGTATGCCTTAATGGCTGCCTAGATATGCGAAGGAAGAGAAAGAGGGAATACAGTTATTGCTGAGGTTTTCAGCTAGGACGGCTTGTACAATGAGGATGCCATTGCTAGAAACTAGAATTTTAAGTAGCTGAGGATATTTGAAAAGGCCAGCATCTGGAGTGGAGAAGCAGTTTGTAGGAAAGTTTGAAGCACTGGTGAAAGTATGTGCATGGTGATATCTAGGTAGCTGACACCGGAGGGATTGGGTCAGACAAAGAGATTCAAGTGGCTTCCATAGGGAGATGGTAGCTTGGCTTCTTTTTTGCTTCTTTCAAGGGAGGTGGCCAAAGCAGAGCATCTAGAGGACAGATCCTTGGAGAACATCTATGTTTGTGTGGGAGAACAGTGGGTGAGAGAGAGAGACAGACATGATGTGATCAGAGGTAGGAAATAAAGATATGAAAACCGTGGGGGGAGTTCATGTCAGGAAGATGATTGATGGGAAGTGTCAAAGGTAGAGAAGGGGAAAGATCAAGAGTAGAAGGAATTACTGGATGTGGTCATGGGTAGGTCGTTCATGATGGAAGACTGAAGAAGCAGTAGATGGAGGAAGGATTCTTTAGGGTAGAGGAATCTGAGCACACCTTTAGATAGAGGGAAAAAATAGACTGGAAGAGAGAGATTGGAGATACAAGAGAATGGGGCAGGGGCAGCAAGCATGAGTGAGGGGACAGTGGGATGCAGTATACAAGGAGTGGATGCTCAGCCAGAGGGGAGCTGCAGGTGGGCTGGCCCATTGAGAGCCTGGCGGATGCTGTCAGATGGGCTTTTGCTCCTCAGGAAAGTAGGAAGTCAGGTTACGGTTTCCTGAGAAGCCTCCCATGTGTATGGATAACATATGGCATTTCTTCTAGGACCTTAATAAAAGAAAGTGTTACACATCTGTATTGGGCCCTAAATTCACCTTGATACCATCGTGACCGTCAGGAGCTGCAATCTGTGTTTGACACCAGAACAACTGAAGTGTATTTAAAATATTTTCCCGAATGTAAATATGTCACTCATTCTACATTAATCTAAATAAGTAGATTTTACTGTAAGATTGAATGTAGTATTACTCCTGTGTAAGATGACCATGCATTTTCCTGATCTTGTACGCTAGGCCCTGAAGGACTTGGTTTCACTGTTGTTACCAGAGACTCTTCCATACATGGTCCTGGTCCCATTTTTGTAAAAAACATTTTACCAAAGGGAGCAGCAGTAAAAGATGGCCGCCTGCAATCAGGGGACAGAATCTTGGAGGTAAGAACTAGAAATAGTATCTTCCATAAAATATTTATTGGTGTTTAAATCAATAAGTATATAAACATATATATTAAATTTGAATACAATATATTGAGAATTATTTCTTGTAGACAAGATAAGGACTTTAATTAGAAAACTAGTTAATGTGAAGCCTAACTTTATAAGTCCCCAGTAAGAGCAGTTGATGTGGGGCCAAATAATACTGAAAAGTTTTCCCTATCTTCTCTTTCTTCTACGTCTTAGTGTCCCTGGGGAATTTGGATCAGATCCAAAAGTCCATCATTTATTCAATTAGGGCTAAGAATTTGAAAGTCATACCAAGCCCTGTAACAGTTCCTTTAAACTTCTTGCAAAGATGGGCCAGTCTGTTTCAAGTTGATCTATGCCTACAGAGAAGTATTTGGAATACCCAAAGCAAGAAGCTTTTTTTTTCATTTCTTTTTGTTTGGTACCACCATCTTCCTGGCTAAATACATATTGTCATTTACTTTTCAAGAAGTCATATTCATGGAAACTGGCTGGTTCCCTTTAACTGTCTCAAGGCATGGAGCAACACTATAGTTTTTTGTGTAGTTCTAGATCATGAAAGAAAATGCACCAAATGACTAATGTTGCTCCAAATTAGAATCTCCAATAATCTGTAGTAACTTGGTGACTGTAATTTTCTAAACGTGGGAAACACTGTAGAATTACAGCGAAAGACTCTATTTCCAGAGGAATTTGCCGTATGATAATGGGCCATTTCCCCTGTTTGTATTATGTAGAAAATGGTGCCAGTTAAGCATTTGAACCTGCATCCTTCCTTTTTGAGGAACCATCTCTGGAATCTGTCAGTTTGATTTCCCCCTCATAAGAATGTAATGTCTTAGGAAAACTGCTGATACTAATTACTGACTGTCCAGCACCACAGTAATCCTGGGCACTATGTTATTATTGGTATTATAAATGTGGTTGGTCTGGGCACATGTGTTCAGTATTCATCTTTTCAGAGCTTTGTTGATCGTGGGAGCCCATTTGCTGCCTACTTTCAAAAACCATCTAGGGTAGAAGGATATAGCAAGTGTTGTAATTGTGGCTGCTTGTATGATTGCATGCATTAGGTAAATGGCAGAGATGTCACTGGACGGACTCAGGAGGAGCTTGTGGCCATGCTGAGGAGCACCAAACAGGGAGAGACAGCATCACTGGTCATTGCCCGCCAAGAAGGAGCTTTTCTGCCCCGAGAGCTGGTAATATTCATATCCCAGTCTCACTGAATTGTCAATGCAGAGCTTACTACACTCTGGGAATTCACAATAGCTGAGAAATGAGTTCTAAATCACAGGCTTCATTTGTAGCAAAAATTGAATCACATCAAGAGTATTTTGCCTCATTTGGGGTATCACAGTTTTAGGATGTTGATGTAGTGAGTTGGGTATATGCAAACAGTACTTCTAGGGGACAAATTCAAACACCCTTTCAAGGAAGCAATTTAACAGTATTCAACTAAATACAATAAATACACATACGTTGAGTATGTGCTAGGCCCTATGCAAAACACAGTCAGCAAAAATGCTCGTGGCCCTACCATAGTGCAGTTTGCAGTCTAAAAGGAAATAAAAATATAACCAAGTGATCAAGGTGGTGGAGATTGTGAGAGCAAGCTGCAGAGTGCTCCAGTGACATATAATGGGGACTTGAACCTGGTCTCGAGGGCTGGGAAAGGCATCTCAAGCGTGAGATTTCAAAAGTCTTATTAAAAATGTCTCCCCGTTGACCTAGTAACTACACTTCTAGTAATCAGTCCTAAACTGATCATCAAAGATGTGGAAAAAATTCATGTACATTGATTTTTTTTCCTAAAGTCCTATTTCTTGTAGTGATGTATTGGGCACTGTACAACCAGAAGTATTAGTTAGATAAATAACTGGATAGTTCTCCAGTGAAATATAGTAAGTACTTAAAATGGTCTCTGTGAAGAATTGTTAATAACATGATAAAATGTTCCTAGTTTATTATTAAGTAAAAAGTTGGGTATAAAATGATACATGCAGTATGATCAAATTATATTAAAAAGTCAAAAAAAAAAAAAGAACTGGTAGGAGATGCACCCAGATTGTTGAGATTATGTAAGATTTTCATTTTCTCATTTTTTTTTACAATAAACACATTTTATTATTGAAATATTTACTTAAGAAATCTATAGAAAAGTCAAAGGACTTTTATGGCTAATAAGAAAGAGGAACTGATGTGACAAAAGTATTTTAAATTACCCTTGCTTTTATTTTATTTCCTTTGACTCTATATAGGAAATGATGAAGGCACATGTAGGTAATATGAGAGGTCCAAGGGTGGAATCTTCAGAACAGTGGGGGTTAGTTGAGAAAATTCACTATAGGTGACCTGAAAAAGAAAGTTTAGGATGCATGATAATTGTTATCAAATATGTAAAGAGTTATTGTATGCATTAGAAAGTAAGCCATCTGTTTAACAGTTTATGTCCATTAATTTACTTATGTGTTAATCCAACAAACGGTTTACTGGGGATCTGCCGAGCACTAAGTTTGAGGTTCTTAGGACGCAAAAGTAACGAAGACTGATTTCCTGCCCTCTTTGAGCTTGGACCCAAACAAGTAGTTGGAAGTGATAATGTTACAAGAACTTTCTAACTATTGGAGCTGTCCAAGAAGGAAATGGGTTATTTAGAATATGGAAACAGAGCCTGCCTCACCATCTGTCAAAGATGCTCTAGAAAAAATTCTCCCATTGATACAGGGATAAGACTAGAAAACCTCTACGATATCTACTCTGAGCCTGACATTCTGTTACATGTGTTTATATTCACATTTGAATACGTGACCCTCCTGAGTCACCTCTCACAGGTATTAATGCTCGTTAGCGCTGGCCAAAGGATCCTCCCTCCATGTTTCTATGGCATGGGGTTTCCTTTTGCCTCTTCCTTTTCTTTCCATCATCTTAGCCATTTTTCCTCATGCCCTATTGTGTGCTTTGGGGAGATCTGTGGTAAAATAAGGAAGGGAAGATATGTTGCCCACTTCCTCTCTTCTACTTGACTCCTCCAAACCCAGCCATTTTGGATGGTAGAATCCTGAATGTCTGTCTCATCTCCTCCCTGAGGCTCCTCACTTTTCCTAAAGAGAAATGCTGCCAAAACTTGAATTCCAGGGTTTTTTTCCCTCTAAATTCAGATGAATTCTTTCTTCACTTCTTTATTTATCCAAAGACCTTCATCTTTTTCTGCAAAGGTCAATGTGAAATGAAGCAATACAAAAGACGGCAGCATGTATTCATAGCAGGAAACCTTCTCACTTCTTGTCCAGTTCTCTGGTTGCTGGAGACAAAAACTTTTAGAAAACCTCAGTGGGACTATGTACTTGTTTCAGGGATGAGAGAACAGGGAAAGAAGTTTTGACCGTGTATCCCATTGAACTATGGTCCTGGAAGGAGTAAAACCCTACCTAGAAAGAGAAACGCTCCAGCCAGCCCCCGCACGTGCAAAAGAACCCAGTGACGGAGCTCCAGCTAGGAACTCAAGCCCTCAGGAGCCCCTACTTCCAATCTCATAGTTCCTTATACCCCTTTCCATGTGTCCTCTAGGATTCCCAGCTCTAGAAGCTCTCTTCCTCCCCAAGGTAAGGGAGAAAGGGTGCTGATCTTATTCCAATTTGAAACTCTGAATGCGTTGTCAGTCAAAAACAATTACACCTGGAAGTTACTTAATGGAATTAAAAATTTTCAGACTAAAGAGAGCTGAAAGAATCAGTGAGTCCAACTCTAATTTTGTAGTTGAGCAAACCAAGGTCCAGTGTGGCTGAGTAACCTGTCCGTGGCCCCACAATGAGCAGGAACTAGAGGCCTAGGTTTCTTAACACTTGGCATCGTCTCTGGATTTCAGCTCCCTTTACTCAACTTCCACATTCACCACTTATGGTGTGACCTACAGCAGGTCACAAAGTCATACCAAGGCTCAGTTTCCTGGTCTGTATCATAAGATTGTTGTGAGGATTAAACGAGATAATATATGCAAAGCTCTTTGCATAGTTTCCGGCCAGTTGTAAGTTCTCAATATATGTTCGCTGTGATTATTTCTTCTAGTACATTACCACTTCTGTGGTACTGTACACACAAAACTATACTTTAGATACGTTATGGGGTTTGCCTAGGACTAACCACTATTTTGAACACTGATTGTTTTCTTTTTTATTATTTTAAAATGTATCCAAAATACTGAACTACAAACAAAATTTTTATAACCAATCAAATCTGTGTCAGGCATCCTGTATATACTATTTCACTCTCATTTAATAGAAGTTAGTAAAATTTGATTTCTATCCCAGAAAGCAACATCATATGCCAAGCCCAGCAGGGAGCGTATTAAATTAATTGTGCAACTGTGAGATTATTAGGGCAAATAATATTTGTTCTCATTGTTTGTAGTTTTATACAAAATTTGGAGGATAAGTGGTTAGTATCCATTCTCTTAGAATTCTCTGGCAAATAGTCTCGACTCTTTAAAAAATATTTGGCTTCTAACTATCCAAATATGTGGAATATTCTTTGGAACCACACAAAGCAAGGGCGTTTGAGGCGTACAAGCGCCTAAGTAATGTGGACCCAGAATCTTTGTTTGGGAGAAATAAGAAATAGTATTCTCTCTCTGGTCCAAATGCCTGCCCTGAGTGCTAAATAGCAAGAACCCTACAGGAAGTTTAAAGAGAGGTCATGTTTGGCATGCGTGGGGCTATTTCAGGGGGAATTACTTCCTAATGTGGCGTGCCCTGGACTATTTCAAAGAGCAAAATGAAGAACCGTGTGCTATGTGATACATCTTTGTGTTTTTCTTTCAAAAAATTGAAGGTGGTTTCACTGTGGTCTCTTCCCCCTTATTGTGATGGATGTACATACTTGACTTTCCATCGAAAATCTGGCAGGATGAAGGAAGGACAGCACTTCCTGCTTTTGTCTTGTTCTATCTCCTTTGAAGAAAACAAACTGTGTTTGTTGTGTTCCTGTCCTGAGACACCGTACTCTCCCTTTTGTTAAGCCTCGCTATTTCATGAGCTCTGTATCGCCTTAACAGCGCTGCTCTGCCTATTTTCTGACACTTAAGTCTTCCTTCCTTCCTCGTTATCACCAGCTTCTTGTAAAGTCTTAACACTTACAGCCGAGGGAGCATGTGGTCAGCAGATACACAGGACATCCCGATACAGGATGGTCTCTCGGATGTGACCCTCTGTCGTTCCAGAGCCCTTAGCATCCATTTCCTGGTCGTTTCTCCTGACCTGCCACATGAGAGAGCTGTGCTGAATTCTTATATTTGCTGGCCCATGTCCTCCTTCCTGAGCAGTTGGTTAGTATCACAAATTTAGCAGCACATTTTGCCAACCTTCTTTCCATCTGTGGCAAGCTGGGTTGAAAATCAATCAGAGAAATGTATGTAATAACATCACAACTATTTAGCTCTTATTAGTATCTTTACCAAAAGAACTGTGCTTCAGAGGTAATCTTTCTAGACTCCCAGCCTGGAAGATCCTTTGATCTCCCCACCCCCCGACTGAGTGAGAGTTTATTAAGGAGGTGTTCACATAAAAAAGATTTCTGCAGAGGGGACTTCAAGATTAGTGTTAGTAATAGAATCGCAAGGTGAAAATGCTGTGTCTGCGTCTGCACTTGAAATGGAAACTTGGCTACTTAATCAGTGGTTTGTTCCGTCTGTTCTGTAAGAGACATAGTCTGCAAGTTCCTTTCCATCCCTGAAACTTGAAATTCTTTTCTTCTCTTGCAAAGTGTCAAATAAAGCTATCTTTCCATTTAGGAAAGATCCTGAAAAACTACATGTTTTCTATTTATTTCATGCCTTTTCTTTTTTACGAGCTTCAGAGAGAGACACACTGTGTTATTTGCCATGTGTGTGCATGTGCACATACGTGTATGTCTTCTTTCGTTTATTGGGGAGGAAGAAATATTCTGCCATTTCTTTGTTAACCTCTTTAATGTTTCATGTTCTGACCTGCTGCCTTATCTTTAAATTATCCTGAAAATCGCAGCAACCCCTGGTGGGTAAAACAAGCTGAGGAAATTTCAAATGTATTTATAATTTCTACCTGCCAAGTTTTCCTGCTATTAAATGCCGGCCTCTGCAAGTGGGATTAACTATATTTCAAGCCAGCAAGTGCTCCTGCCTGGCGAGATTGAGATCCGAAAGTTAGCTGTGTCTGTCATGCTGATT